ACAGCAAATAAAGCCTAAAGCCAGGGGAACCTGGGTGGCTCAGTGGGTTAAAGCTTCTGTCTTCAGCTCAGGTCATGATCCCAGGGTCCTGGAATCGAGCCCCTTATCAGGCTCTCTGCTCAGCGGGGAGCCTGCTTCCTCCTCTCTCTCTGCCTGTCTCTCTGCCTACTTGTGATCTCTGTCTGTCAAATAAATAAATAAATAATCTAAAAAATAAAATAAAAATAAAGCCTAAAGCCAGCAGAACAAGGAAAATAATAAAAATTAGAGCAGAAATAAATGATAGAGAAACAAACAAAACCCAGAAGAAGAGATCAATAAAACTAAGAGCTGGTTCTTTGAAAGAACTAATAAAAATCGATAACCCCTTAGCAAGACTTATCAAAAAGAAAAGAGAAAAGACCCAAATAAATAAAATCATGAATGAAAGAGGAGAGATCATAGCCACCACACAGAAATATAAACAGTTGCAAGAGAATATTATGAAAAAGTATATGTCAACAAATTGGACAACCTAGAAGAAATGGATAAATTCCTAGAAACATATATATTGTGAAAACTGGAATGGGAAGAAATAGAAATTTGAAGAGACCCATAACCATGAAGGAAATTGAATCGGTAATCAAAAATCTCCCAACAAACAAGAGCCCAGGGCCAGATGGCTTTCCAGAGAAATTCTACCATATTTTTTAAGATTTATTTATTTATTTGGCAGAGAGAAAGAGAGAGTGTGCAAGTGGGGGAGAGGGGCAGAGGAAGAAGGAGAGAAGGAAACTCAAGCAGGCTCCCTGCTGAGCACTGAGCCTGACGCAGGGCTCACTGTCATGACCCTGAGATCAGATCTGAATAGAAACCAACAGTCAAATGCTCTAACCGACTGTGCCACCCAGCCACCCTTCTACCAGACATTTAAAGAAGAGTTAATACCTAGTTTTCTCAGACTGTTTAAAAAAATAGAAATGGAAGAAAAACTTCCAAACTTATTCTATGAGGCCAGCATTACCTTGATTCCAAAACAAGACAAAGACTCCACTATAAAGGAGTATTTCGGGGCAATAACCCTGATTAACATGGATGCAAAAATTCTCAACAAGATACTAGTAAATTGAATCCAACAGTATACGTTAAAAGAATTTTTCACCAAGATCAAGTGAGATTTATTCCTGGACTGCAGGGGAGGTTCAATATTTGCAAATCAGGGGCACCTGGGTGGCTCAGTGGGTTAAGCCTCTGTCTTCAGCTCAGGTCATGATCTCAGAGTCCTGGGATCGAGCCCCACGTTGGGCTCTCTGCTCGGCGGTGAGCCTGCTTCCCAATCTGCCTGCCTCTCTGCCTGCTTGTGATCTCTGTCTGTCAAATAAATAAATAAAATCTTTTAAAAACATTGCAAATCAATCAACATGATATACCACACTTACAAAAGAAAGGATAAGAAATATATGATCCTCTCAATATATGCAGAAAAAGCATTGGACAGAGTACAGCAGCCATTCTTGATAAAAACTCTCAACAAAGTAGGTATAGATAGAACATACCTCAACATTATAAAAGCCATCTATCTATAAAAGACCCACAACTAATATCACCCTCAATGGAGAAAAACTGAGAGCTTTTCCTCCATGGTCAGGAACACAACAGCAATGTCCACTCTCACCATTACTATTTAACATAGTACTCTAAGTCTTAGCCTCAGCAATCAGACAACAAAAAGAAATAAAAGGCATCCAAATCAGCAAGGAAGAAGTTAAACTTCCATTATTTGCAGATGACAGGATACTCTATTCAGAAAACCCAAAAGATTCTACCAAAAAATTGTTAAAACTAATACATGAATTCAGCAAAGTCATGGGATGTAAAATCAATGTACAGAAGTCTGTTGCATTTCTATACACCAATAATGAAGCAGTAGAAGAAGAAATCAAAGAATTGATCCCATTTACAAATGCATGAAAACAATAAGATACCTAGGAATAAACCTAACCAAAAAGGTATAAGATCTGTGCTTTGAAAACTTTGGAACATTTATGAAAGAAATTGAAGAGGACACAAGAAAATGGGGGAAAATTCCATGTTCGTGGATTGGAAGAACAAATATTATTTTTTAAAAAGTGATTTACACATTTAATGCAATCCCTATCAAAATACCGATAGCCCTGTTCACAGAGCTAGAACAAACTATCCCAAGATTTGTATGGAACCACAAAAGACCCCAAATAGACAAAGCAATCTGGAAGAAGAAAAGCAAAGCTGGAGGCATCAGAATTCCAGACTTCAGGCTATAATAAAAGCTATAGTAATCAAAACATTACAATACTGGTACAGAAACAGACACAAGATCAAGGGAACAGAATAGAAAACCCAGAAATGGACCCAAAACCATGTGGTCAACTAATCTTCGACAAAGCAGGAAAAAAATCCAATGGAAAAAAGACAGTCTCTTCAACAAATGGTGTTGGGAAAACTGGACAGCCACATGCAGAAGAATGAAATGACCACTTTCTGACACCCTACACAAAAATAATCTCAAAATGGACCTAAATGTGAGACAGAAAACCATCAAAATCCTAGAGAACACAGGCAGCAACCTCTTTGACCTAGGACATAGCAACTTCTTACTAGACACTGCTCCAGAAGCAAGGGAAACAAAAGCAAAAATGAACTACTGGGACTTCATCAAGATAAAAAGTTTCGGGGCGCCTGGGTGGCTCAGTGGGTTAGGCCTCTGCCTTCAGCTCAGATCACGATCTCGGGGTACTGCGATCAAGGCGCGCATCGGGCTCTCTGCTTGGCAGGGAGCCTGCTTCCCTCTCTCTCTGTCTGCCTCTCTGCCTACTTGTGATCTCTCTCTCTCTCTCTCTGTCAAATAAATAAATAAAAACTTTTTTAAAAAAATTAAAAGTTTCTGCACAGCAAAGGAAACAATCAACAAAACTAAAAGGCAGCCTACGGAATGGGAGAAGATATCTGCAAATGACATATCTGAAAAAGGGTTAGTATCCAAAATATATAAAGAACTTATCAAACTCAACACCCAAAAGACAAATAATCCAATTTAAAAATGGGCAGAAATCATGAATTAACATTTTTCCAAAGAAGACATCCATATGGCTAACAGACACATGAGAAGATGTTCAATATCACTCAGCATCAGGGAAGTACAAATCAAAACTATAAGGAGATATCATACTATAACTGTCAGAATGGTTAAAATTAACAATACAGGAAACAACAGATGTTAGTGAGGATGTGGAAAAGAGGAACCCTCTTACGCTATTGGTAGAAGTGCAAACTGATAGAGCCACTCTACGGAAGAGTTTGGAGGTTCCTCAAAAAGTTAAAAATGGGGGCACCTGGGTGGCTCAGTGGGTTAAAGCCCCTGCTTTAGGCTCAGGTCATGATCCCAGGGTCCTGGGATTGAGCCCTGTGTGGAGCCCTGCATCGAACCCCCCGCCCCTGCTCGGCGAGGAGCCTGCTTCCCCCTCTCTCTCTGCCTGCCTCTCTGCCTACTTGTGATCTCTTTCTGTCTGTCAAATGAATAAATAAAATAAAATAAAAAGTTAAAAATAAGGACACCTGGGTTAAACTTCTGCCTTCTGCTCAGGTCATGATCCCACAGTCCTGGGTTCCAGTCCCTCATCAGGTTCCTGGCTCAGCAGGGAATCTGCTTCTCCCTCTGCCTCTGCCTGTTGCTCCCCCTGCTTGTGTGCTCTCTCTCTGACAAATAAGTAAATAAATTCTTTTTAAAAAAAAAACTTAAAAACAGAACTACCCTATGATCCAGCAATTGTACTAGGAGATATGTACCCAAAGGATACAAAAATACAGATTCGAAGGGTTACATGCACCCCGATATTTACAGCAACATTATCAGCAATAGCGAAACTACGGAAAGAACCCAAGTGTCCATCAACTGATGAATGGATAGAGAAGATGTGGTGTATATATATATATATATATATATATATATATATATATATATATAGGCGTATCACTCAGCTATCAAAGAGAATGAAATCTTGCCATTTGCAATGACATGGATGGAGCTAGAGTGTATTATGATAAGTGAACTAAGTCAGTCAAAGACAAATGTAATATGATTTTACTCATATGTGAAACTGAGGAAATAAAACAGATGAACCTATGGGAAGTGGGAAAAAAGAGAAAGGCAAGCAAACCGTAAGAGACTCGACTGTAGAGAACAAACTGCAGGTTGATGGAAGGAAGTTCATGGAGAATGGGCTAAATGAGTGATGGTGAGTAAGGACGGCACTTGGTGGGATAAATGCTGGGTGTTGTATGTAAGCAATGAATCACTAAATTCTATTCCTGAAACCAGTATCACACTATATGTTAACTAACTAGAATTTAAAATAAAATTTGGAGAAAAAAAATAAAGCCTCTATGACTTAAGCTACTATGAGTAGGCTCTTCCCTTAGCTGTAGTTAAAAGCACTCCTAACTGATAAAATGATCAAGTTCATTATAAGATATACCACCTCTCTCTAGGTGTGTTAATACATGCAATTAGTTTACAGTCAAATATTAACTGGTCTGGGATACAGTTTGATCTCAATTTCACTTTCAGAGGCTACCCTAACTTCACTCGTTTCTGACTCCACTACCCCAATCATGCAATCACCCCAACTGTCACAGCACTGAGTACCTCAGGTCTCCTTTCCCAGCACTCCTTTCCCTGCTCTTTCAAATCTTTCCAACTCCAGCCAGGTTGTGGGCATTTCTGAATCAAAATAATCTCTTTTACCAAGATAAACAACTTATTTCCGTGCTGAAGGATTCAGAATGTAGTTGATGTTACCATTAACAAAAGCTATAGAATTCCGTTTGTGGGAGTCTGGATACCATGTTTACTTACTTATTCTTTGTCTCATTACAGTTTCAAGAGGTAAAAACAAGATGTGGTAAGCTTTTCCTTTGGGGGTTTCTTACCTGATAGAGGTACAACAGTAGCCCTGTGTTTCCGTTTGTCCTATTTGTTCTTTGTTCCTTTTTCCCTCTTTCCCGGTCTTCCATTGGATTATTTTTTATGAGTCCATTTATCTCCTCTGTTGACAAATTAACCACACCTTTTTTATTTTTTTTTATTAGTTGCTCTAAGCTTTACAATATGCATCTTTAACTTAGCACCATCTCCCTTTGAATGTTATAGCATCTAACATACAATGTAAGATAATCTTTTAACCATATACTTGCATCCTATCTCCCCCATTCTTTCTGCTGTTGTGCTCATACATTCTACCTCTATAAATGTTATAAATCCCATAATATACTGTTATTATTTGTACTTTAAGCAGTTAATTTTCTTTTAAAGATATTAAAAACAAGAAAAATGTCTCTTATATTACCCACATATTTACCGCATTTATTCTTCACTCCTTTGTGTAAATTCATGTGTCCATCTGGTATCCTTTTCCTTTAGCCTGAAGAAATTCCTTTAGCATGCTTGTAGTAGAGATTCGCTATTGATGAATTCTCTTGGCTTTGGCTCAACTGAAATGTCTTTATTATGCCTTCATCTTTGAAGAACATTTCCACTGGATATAAAATTCTAGGGCCATGTTTTTCTTATAATGCTTTAAAGATGTTCCACTATCTTCTGGTTAGAATTATTTTTGATGACAAACCAGTAATTAATCTCATCTTTAAGACTTTTTCCTTATCACTGGTCTTCAGAAATTTAATTCTGTAGTGTCTTAGTGTGGTTTGTGTTTATGTTGCTTGGGGTTCATGCGGATTTCTGGATATGCTGAAGAGAGTTCGCAATAACTGTGGAATAATCTGGAAGCTGAACAACAGAATTACAAAACTGTACATTGTGTTTCACTGTTAACATGTTGCTTAACCACTAGTGACAGCTCCTGAACAGCTTTTTCTTTTTAACCATGGTTTCAGAGACCAGGTACTGAAAAGAAAGTTTGGGAAATTGTTCTGTCTGCTGTCCTGCCCAGATTCTAGACACTGTAACTGCATAATTTCCCTCCATCTATTTTATAGGTAAAATACCTGTGAAAAGGAGAAAGGAAAAAAGTTGCATGAATTAATATGTTCTGCATAATGGCCTTTTCAACATTTTCTCCTATTTTCACTAAGCTGTTCCTTTAAAAAAAAAATCTCCAGGTATGGTTTATAGTTGAATATTAATCAGGTCATGGATGAGGTCCACTTCTAAAGTGAGACAGAGCTGTAAATAATTTATCCTGGGGATCTGTCTGGAATGAACCTTGTCTACAAGATGTCTGGCCAGGCAGATAAAATACTGCAGGCAGAGTACAATAGGGAACACAATACTAATTACCCAGCCTCTGTAATGATTCCTGATTCTACGGCCACTGGGGCAGGTCTCATTGGTTGGCAAATGTTAACAGAATCACTGCACAAGTACTATTCATGAGGAAGGTCAAAGCTTCATGAAATAAGAGAATGATCCTGCATAAAGGCAGAATAAAAAATACGTTGAGAGATAAATCCTTCTCTGTCCTTATTGGACCATTCACAATTATTCCTCCTAATCCAAAAACCATTACACTTCTTATATCACCAGCTAGACAGAAAGGAATAAACATGAGGCACCTGGGTTGCTCAGTTGGTTAAGCGGCTGCCTTCGACTCGGGTCATGATCCCAGGGTCCTGGGATCGAGACCTGCATTGGGTTCCCTTCTTGGTGGAGAGCTTGCTTCTCCCTCTCCCTCTGCCTGCCGCTTTGCCTACTTGTGCTCTCTATCTCTCTGTCAAGTAAATGAATGGAATCTTGGGGGAAAAAAAAGAAAAAAGAAATAAACATTTAGAGGGTACCTATTTATTCTAAGCTCTCTATTAACGGTTTTTACTAAAACACTATTTAATATTTACAATCATAGGAGGAGGAAATATTTAACTCCATATTCCAGATAAGCACAACTGAGATTCAAGAATCTCATCCGAGGTCACACAGCTGGTAACTGGCAGCCCTGGAATCTGCCTCTAGGTCTGCCTGGCCTCAGAACTTCCTGATTTTGCTGCCACACAGTGCCTTCAGCTCCAGCTTCCAAAAAGTACTTCCTGAGCGGAGCCTGACTGCCTCAGGGGGAGGAGCATGCAACTCCTCTGATCTCAGGCTTGTGAGTTCAAGCCCCGTGTTGGATGCAGAGCTTACTAAAAATAAATAAATACACCTTTAAAAAAAAAAGTACTTACAGAGCCAACTGCCCTTTGGTTTCATGTCAAAAGGTTGGCATTTGGTAAGTCACTCGCTTAGATGGAAAAACCCACTCCTCCTGCCAGATGGTATGTGTGTACTCTATCTGGAAGGGAATACTGGGTTAGCACTCACCTCAGAAAGAATGATGGGAGTGTCATGCCCCAGATTCACCGGCGAGATGTTCAGAGGGGAATCCTCCATGAACACAAAGCCCTGTGGCCTCTAGAATTCTCCTGCGAAGAAGTCTGGAGGGGGGCAGCTGCTTGCATCCTCGTGGGGTGGCATGGGTCTCCTAGCAAGTTGACTGTTTACTTGTCTCGGGCTGTAGGGTTCCTGATCCGTACTGCAGAGTCCTACTCGCCAATCCTGTCCTTGGGATAGGGGGCAGGAGCACAAGGCAGAGGAGGAAGGCTTAGGAAAAGGAAGAAACCGAGGAGAGGAACTGTCAAGGCCAAGCATTCTTTGCTGTAATTAAAACAAGGCATGTGCCAGTGAAACTTAATTTGTGAGCAGTGGACCAATGCGCGGAATGCTCACAGTTTTCTGCCTGAGCTCCAGCCTCGGGACAGTATTTAATACACTGTCTCTTAATTTTCTACTTTTGCTATAAGATCTGTGAGGTATAGTAAAAGATCTCTTGCCTTAGAATCAGGAGACCTGAGCTGTATTTCTGACTCCGCCACCTTCTAGCTGTGTGACCTTGGACAAGTGCTTTACCCTCTCTGAGCTTCAGTTTTCTTAGCTATTAGACGAGAAATTTGTACTAGCAAACAACTACCATTCTGTGCTTCTATGATGACGGAAATCTCAACAGTAGAGGTCGGAGAGCCTTAAAGAAAAAAAAACCATATTATTCCAGATTACATTCATCTGGGGTCGTTTCATTTAAATGGCTTGATTTTATTCCCAGTTTTCCCTGAAGCTCTGGAATGGAAATGTATAATTAACCTTTTTTTGAAGAACATCAACAAATATCTTTTTAATTTAATAAAATCTGGATGACAAAATAGAACATATGTTTAAAAAAATCAGTTATAATACATAGTAAGCAAGACTACATGAAATCACATCCACAAAATGCCAAGCAAGGCATGCCACTCATAAAAGGCAGTAAGAAAGTCTAGTCGCAGATCTGATTTCTTCCTCTCCTATGCATTCTGCTATAATTAATCTTTTAAGGAGACCTTAAAATATATTATAATTCTTTCAATCCTATGGTCCTGGGTCCCCTTTTGATGTCCTTGTCCCCTTTCTCCTACCTCCATCATTTCTTCAAAAGAAATGACTCACCCCCTTCCCCTCTACCTCCAGAACCAGCACTCAGGTAATAACCTTTGGTGTCTCTAGCACAATAGGCCCAACATCCGCTCACATAAGGGCCAGAACGTGGGTCTGTTCCTTGCTCCTCAAGTCAGACAGACGCTGCTTGGGTGGAGTTCACTCCCTTGCCCTTCCTTCTTTGAAGTACCCTCTATTTTCCTGGATTCACAGTTAACACCTAATTGCCGGTTTATGAATGGTCCAAAGATTGGTAAGCAGGATTCTGAACTTGCAAATCTATTGCATGTACCCAGGGGCCACAGGGAAAAGAGGGGGTGTCTTATACTTTGTGCACTAACAGGCAATTATTTCCTATGATCTTCTTCCCGGGTAACCTCCATACCCAGATTCAAAGAGCTGATGCTTTGAGCGGCAGCCTAAGGAGGGCTGACTGCGCTCTGCAGCCTTCCTACGTATTTATGAGGAGTTAGAGCCTCGATCCCTGAGCTGAGGGGTTGGCAGTAAGCAGCCTTCCCTTCAGACAGGACTTCAGAAGGGAAGAGAGGGAGTGTGGCCTAGAGGAGGAAGGTGACACTGAATGGGTGACACACCGTGAATCGGCCCCCTCAGTTCTGGCGGTTCTGTCCCTTTTCTCTAGGAGGCTGGGTCCTTTCCATCCACAACTAGAACCTGTAATGTTTAACTGTGAGGCCCTGGCGAGCAGGGACTCAGCCACGTTTCTTTCATATTCCCCAAGCACAGTGCTTGGCAGGAAACAGACCTTAATAAATGTTTGTTAAATGTTAAATAACACACGGGCTTTTGCTGACCTTTCAATGTAGACTGACCTCAAGGAGGCCGCCATGATCCGGCCTCCCGTGGCTCACGCTTCTGCGCGCGCCTCTCCACTGTGCCCACCAGGCGGCACCTGTGACTTGCTTTTACCCAAGAGACTACGGTAAAGGGACACGGTGTCACTCCCATGATCGTGTTACATTCTGTAAAACGCTCTCTTGCCAGGCAACAAAAGCAAAACTAGATAAACCGGACAACGTCAAACTTAAAAACATCTGCACCTCAAAGGAAACAATCAACAGAGTGAAAGTGCAACCTAAGGAATGGGAGAAAATATTTCCCAATTGCATGTCTGATAAGAGGTTAAAATCCGGAATACAGAAGGGACTCCTACAGCTCAACCATCAAGAAACAAAGAACCGGTTTAAAAATGGCCAAAGAACTGAAACGGACATTTCTCCAATGAAGATATACAAATGGCCAAAAAGCATATGAAAAGATGTTCAACATAATCATCAGAGAATCGCACGTCAAAATCACAGTAAGCTATCACCTCACCCCTGTTAGGATGATCACTATCCCCCCAAAAATGAAAACAAAAATAAATCATATCATATCATATGATCGCACTCACATGTGGACTTTAAGAAACAAAATGAATGAGCAAAGAGGGGAGAGACAGAGAGAGAGAAACCAAAAAACAGACTCTTAACCATAGAGAACACACTGCTGGCTACCAGAGGGGAGGTGGGTGGGAGGAGTGGGTGAAACAGGAGACGCGGATGAAGGAGGGCACTGGTCCTGATGAGCGCCGGGTGATGTACGGAAGTGTAGAATCACTATAGTGTATGCCGGAAACTAATATTACACTGTATGTTAACTAACTGGAATTTAAATAAAGACTTAAAAAAATGAAATTAGTGAAACTTACATACACACACACACACACACACACACACAATGGAATATTATTCAACTTTTAAAAAGAAGGAAGTTTGGGAGCATCTGGGTGGCTCAGTCATTAAGCATCTGCCTTCAGCTCAGGTCATGATCCTAGGGTCCAAGGGATCGAGTCCACATCAGCCTCCTTGCTCAGCAGGGAGTCTGCTTCTCCTTCCTCCTCTGCCTCTCCCCCTGCTTATGCGCTCGCTCTCTCTCTCTATCTCTCTCTCTCTGACAAATAAAATCTTTGAAAAAAAAAAAAAGAAGGACGTTTGATCACAGGCCACAACATGGATAAAACTTGAGGACATTATGCCAAGTGAAATAAGCCAGTCACAAAAAGACAGTGTATGAAAAAAAAAAAAAAGACAGTGTATGATTCACATATATGAGGTATCTAAAGTAGCCAGACTCAGAGTCAGAAAGCAGAATGGTTGTTACGAGGTGTCAGGCGGAGGGGGAAATGAGGAGGCATTCAATAGTAGAGTTTCAGTTTTGCAAGATGAAAAATTGCTAGAGATTTGTTATACAATAATATGCATACAGTTAACACTATGGTATTGTACAAATGGTTAAAAATGGTTAAGATGGAAAACTTTATGTTATGTGGGAGTTTTTTCACAATTAAAAGAAAAGACTATCTTGCTAACAGTCTACTCTGTAGACTCTCCTTGTTGACTTGATGAAGGAGATGGCCATCTGCGTAAGCCTAAGTGATAAGGAACTGCAGGCAGCTTCTAGAAACAACAGGTGGCCTCAGCCAACAGCCAGTAAGAAGCCAGCGTCCTCAGTCAAGGAAATGAATTCCACCAATGCCAACAACTTGAACTCGTAAGTGGATTCTTCTTTGGCCATACTCCCACACGAGACTACAGCCCGGCTGATGCCTTGAGTAGAGGAACCAGCTAAGCCATGCCTGGACTCCCAGCCTATAGAAACTGCAATAAAAAAATGTATGCAATTTAAGCCACTATGTCTGTGGTCAGTTGTTATGTGGCAAAAGATAACTAATACAAAAGGGATGGTATAAAAAACATGCTTCCAAATAACTGCCTTGCTATTGTGGAACCCTGGAAAAAAAGGGGGCGTTCATCGTGGAAAGTAATGGCCCTTGGGCCCACAAGAACAATCTTAAGCCATAAACATTTAGAGACTTGCAATATGTCTACATCTTTGCTTGGAAGTCACTCACCCTCTACATCTTGTTTCCAGGAGGCAACTGCTGCAGATTTAACACAATTGCCAAGAAAGGGGGATAAAAGAGTCATTATAACACATCTTAAAAGTTCAACCCTAGGGTCTCGATGGTCTCTCTCTGCCATAATTCTTTATGATCTTCAGCGAGAGCCCCATGGAATGCAACAGTAATAGCCTGGGACAGGTTAAACTAAGATGGTAAATTTATAGATCTCATCTTATAAATACATAGGGAGGCTTAGGATATCTCGTTATAACATGGGAATGTCTCTGCCTCCGTCTAATGATAACGACTTCTCATTCCTCGGTTTGTTGTAGGCATTCCTTGTGGCAAGGGTCAGAAATGAGCAGAACTTGGCACACCCACGGGATTTCAAGTATGATCACTCCTATTTCTGCACGTTCCTGAATAGTATCTACCACTCCCAACCTTTCTCTTTGGCCAAGGAGATTCTTATTTCCACTTCTTTGTAAAGTGAGTGGAATGGAGACTTTCTGACCTTTTGGCTCCCTTTTTCCTTGCGAGTGTGCAAAGTGGTAAACGTGGGTATGGTGGGTATGTGTGTGAGATGGACAAAAATAAGCAATGGGGGTAGTTGGAAACCTGCAGGCCATCCCATCTGTGGCTAAGCTGAGCCAGAAACTCAAATGTGGTCAGTCTTCCCGGGCAGGTTGAAGACATTGTCTCAGATCTCCACGTCTTCCCTGATGTGCCAGCAGAAATGAAAGGACTTTTCGATGCCAATGAGAAGACACTGAATGGCATGGCTTGGATCAGAATATTGACAAAACAAGTGCCATGCTGTGATTGGCAGCCCCCCACCACTGCCAAGGAGAACCATGTATTTGGGTGTAGGGGGAAATAATTACTCAAAAGGAGAAGACGCTTTTCTGGGAAACATGAGCCCTGATCTTTCCTCTTGTTCAGTGTATTTTAGACTGTACTATGAAGTCCTAGTTTCGGTCATACCTGTGCTCCTTGTGGTGAGCAGTGAATCTCCCTTTTGCCTAAACCAGTTAGAATCAGGTACTATCACTTGCAAACAAGAGTCCTGATGGGTATCTCACTTATTACTGACCAGCCTCTTAACTGCAGCCTAAAGTAACACAATACTTTACATTTACAAAGAGAAGTCTTATACTTTTTTTTTTTAAGATTTTATTCATTCAT